GGTGGAGATGAGAATGGATACCGCTCACGCAGTTATCTTCCGCAGTAAGTTTAAGAAAAATCATGTATATGTATATATGATTTAAAGGTTTCAAGCATGTATGTTTAAAAAGTATAGGTACATATGTATGTTAAGGAAACCAAGGTTGTAGCTAACAACCCTCGTTTTGAGTATTTAAGTTTTAGAACGTTGCAACAGAGCATGCAACAAATAAATAAATTTTAAACATGACGATTTAAATGATTGATTTTAAAAGGGCTTTAAGATGTACTTGAATTTAAGATTTCTCACGAAATCCGTTTTAAAGTCAAAATTAAATGGCCCGATTGAATTGGCTAGTTTTAGAAAGGCTTTTAAAGAGCATTTGAAATAAGAGTTCAAATGCTGCTCTGTTTGAAAGATATTTTTAGAATGTTTTATCTTAACTGAAATTAAGAAAAGCTTTAAGAAATTTAGTGATTCACTTATTTGAAATTATTGTTACAAATTATGAAAGTATTCTTTCTTATATTAAAAAAAAAAATGTTCCGCAAATTTTAAGAAACCCCAGTAAGTACAAGTTAAAGTTTAAGTTACAGTGGCGGCCTCAGAGGAGGGTCGTCACACTAACATTGTCACAAAAAAAATTGCCATTTTCACCTATTATTTATCCAGCAGATGGATTTGTTGAAGATTACGAAATAGTTCTTATGTACAGAGTATTTAACGAAAAATATTTAAAACTAAAAGCCAGGCAGGCAATTAAAATTGGTCTTCATTTTAGTAGTATTTTTCTACTCGTATTTATTACATCCAAAGTCACATGGTTATCCTTTCTTTCGTTTATATAAAAATGACTAGTTGCGTCCCTTAGTCAGTAAATCAATACTTAAACTTCTATTAACGAAAGACCAGCAATACTTAAGCTTCTACTAAAGAAAGACCGGCAATTAATAATAACAGTTAACAAACCTGTATTAAATGCTTTGCTTATGACGAGAGAGTCAAAGAGAGGTATCATCTTTCAAGGTTTACATAAGTGGCACCTTAGTTAGATTATGTTCATAAACTCTCTTCTAAATCTAATTATGGTCTAATTTTGTAGAGGGAGAGTGAAAAATAGAGGGTTCTTTTTGGCATTGACACTGGTTCACAGTGAAAAAACCACCCTTTTCCTAGTTAACAAATTCTTTTTTTCTTTCTTTTGTTTTTCACCAGTTCAATCTTCACAAAAGAAGAGAGAAAGATAAAGAGATGGTGCATATATTTCCAGAAAGATTGAGGGAATTATGGAGCGAATGGGAGATCCGCGCAATGGTTCTAGCCAGCCTCATCTTACAAAGCATTCTCATCCTGATCGGAAACAGGAGAAAGCACTCCACACAAAGCTTGCTCCAATTCCTTCTGTGGTCATCTTACTTGTCTGCAGACTGGATCGCCACAGTCGCACTAGGTGTGCTGTCGAGTTACGGAGATGGCAACGGCGACTCCACTAAACCCGAACACATTATAAAAGCCTTTTGGGCTCCTTTCCTTCTTCTTCACCTTGGAGGCCCAGACACCATCACTGCTTATTCCTTGGAAGACAATGAGCTCTGGTGGAGGCACTTAGTCATGCTAGTTGTACAAGTGGTCGTTGCATTTTACATCCTCATTAGAGCCTGGACTGGTGATAACATGCTTAACTTTCTCTCACTTCCAATCTACTTAGCTGGGATCATCAAGTTTGGAGAGCGCAATTGGGTTCTGCGGTGTGCGAGTAGTAAATACTTTCGAAAATCGATGTTCCCTCGTCGTGATCCGGGTCCCAATTACGCCAGATTCATGGAGGAATATCACTCAAAAAGATTAGAAGGGTTTGACGTCTCATCAGAGAGCAACATTGAAGCTCCAACATTTGGTGATCATATCATCAATGTGATTCCATCGAACGACAATGTCCGAGACGTTGATAACTTGCGAGATGCCCACAACTTCTTCGAGGACTTCAAGCGGCTGTTTGCGGACCTCATCCTCAGCTTCCACGACATCGTTAAAAGCAGGTCCTTCGTCCAGAACAGCACTTGCGACGTGGTTTTCAAAGTGATAGAGATTGAGCTGGGGTTCATCTACGACGTGTTTTACACTAAAGCAGTTGTGGTATACTCTCACATGGGCGGCTTTCTCCGATTCATCAGTTTTTTGTGCACCGTTGTCGTGTTTTTTGCCTTTTTGTTCATCGAGAAGCAAGGATATCGGAGACTGGACATAAGCATCACCTACATATTGCTGGCTGGAGCTGTTGCCCTCGAGATATACGCTGTCGTTTTACTACTCTGCTCGGACAGGGCAGTGCTTTGGCTGAGCAAGCAGAAGAACGTGGTGGCAGATTCCTTGAATCATTCCATTCTACCATTTCTTCCTACTGAACCCAAGAGATGGTCGAATAAGATTGCGCAGTTCAACCTAATTAGGCTTTGTATCAATGACAAACCAACCAATTGGGGTCTCCCCCAGAAGGCCCTCTGCATTTATGAGACAATGGAGATGAACCGCTATGAGGATTTCCAAACAGTTTCCAAGGAGTTGAAAGAGTTGATCTTTCAACAGCTTAGAAAGAAATCAAGGAGCGCCTTCGATTACAGCGCGTGCAAGAGATTATGTTCTCATAGGGGATTATGGGTTCTTGAGGAGGAGAAATGTCTTGATCAACTTGGCTGGAGCATTGAGAATGCTGAATTTGACCAGAGCATTCTTCTTTGGCATATTGCCACAGATCTGTGCTATTACTCCGGTATGCTCGAAAACTCGAGTGATGCTGAACTGAATGAAAAGTCAAACTTTAAGGAGATCAGCAAGTGGTTGTCTGATTACATGTTGTATCTTCTGGTCATGCGCCCCTTTATGCTGCCCAATGGGATTGGACAAATCAGGTTCCAAGACACACACGCCGAAGCAGAGGAATTTTTCAGAGGAAGAAACTCCGTTAAAGATGCGAAGAAAGCTTGCGCAACCTTGCTGCAAGTGAGCACTAAAATTCCTCCGTTGGAAGTGAAAGGTGACCGGAGCAAATCGGTGTTGTTCGACGCCTGCAAGCTTGCACAGGCTTTGAGATCGTTGAAGTGGAAGAAGGAAAAGAAATGGGAAATGGTGAGCCATGTGTGGGTGGAAATGCTGTCTTACGCTGCTTGTCAGTGCCAAAGAAGTCAGCACGCTCAGCAGCTGAGGCAAGGTGGTGAGCTGCTCACTCATGTCTGGCTTCTAATGGCGCATCTTGGCATAACTGAACAGTTTCAAATCTCAAAGGGCCACGCAAGAGCAAAGCTAAATGCGCGGTAAAGAAGGTATAGTGAGTTAGAACAAGTCCCTTTTTTTCAAGAATAAAACAGCTTCTTGAAAGATTAGATAGGAAGTAATTGCTATTTTTTTCTTCTCTTTCGGTAGCAATTCTTGAAGAAAATGATGTTAGTGATGTTTGATGTTTGATTTTTATCAGTTAGATCGTTTTATCTTTTTCTATATTCTCCTTTTTTTGCTTATCTTCTGAGTAGTTTAAGGTTAATAATCGACCTCCAGATGAACGGAATTAAGCATCGTATATGCTATAATTGGATTACAACAAGGATTACAGCATGAATCTTGCCCAAATCAATTTACACCTTGAAAGGGATACTGAAATCTTATTCAAGTCCTTTTTTTGTTCCATGATTTCAGAGACTCTAAGTACTCACCATGTGAAGCGTAATTGATAGATCGATTCTAGCGGTATATGGGCTATGATTTATACTATTCAGCCAGTTTCTAAAACTCTGGCATTTTTGCACTGTAATATTTATATTTGGTTTGTTCGTGAAGGATCGGATAGGAGTTTAAATGAAATTTATTTTATGTAAAGACTACTTTAAAAAGTACAACAACGTAGTATGCAGGAAATTTTTTTTTTTTGGTTGAAAGTTGAAATAGTATACTCTCCACTTCAACAGTTTACACATAGGACTCGTCCTGCGTGATGGACCGAAGCATTTGCCTAAAATTATAACATCAATTGTCCTTCCCAGAACACATTAAAAAGAAAAAACAAAAACAGTTTGCCTAAAAATCGTTTCATAGCTAAGTTTCATAGATTTAAGAGACGTTTAGTTCATGGATTAGAATCACAAGATTAGAACTATTTTCAATTTACGTATATTTTTTGTGAGAGAAAATACTGTAACAAACCATAAACCATGATTCAAATCGGGGTACGAATCCCCCAATCAAACAACCCTTAATTATTTTTTTTTTTTTTTAAGATACAGATACTACTGGTTATTCATTTTTGTTTTCCTTTTTGATAAGTTGGTTAATTATGTGTTGCGTTACTAGATCGCACGTAGTACCAACCATACTATCAAAGTTGAAGCCAGATTGCTTTGCAAAACCCCTTTTTTTTTTTTTTTTTTTTTGATAATCCCGCGAAATCCGCATAACCATATCTTTGGTTTAACTAAAAAAGCTATCATCATGAAAGAGGAATAATAAGACTGCAAAACGACCCTTCCATCCTTAATTAACTAATGCTCCTATAAACCTACAAAAGAACATAATAAAAGGAAAGAGAAGTACGAATGAATAGTAACGGTTTTAACTGTCACTCACTTTCTTATCCAACTTCCACAACGAACAAAACGAAACAGGCTGACCTTTCCACCACAAGCCCGCAAACCCATCTTTCTCATCGACCCTCATCTCCCAATTCCCGTCGTACTTCCTCAACAGAGCTCGAGCTCCATCAATGGCGTCCTCTCCCAAAGCCTCTCCCACAAACCCAGCTCCTCTCATTCTCTCGCACCACTTTTCTTTCCCTTCGTTCATCTCTCCCCTGTTTGTCAACGCCTTCGCCGCCTCTCCTTCCATCAGCCTCCTCTCCTCGCTCTCCCGCCCTTTGAACGCCGAGCTCGTCGAGTCCAGAAACCTCCACAAGTAGTCCACCCGCCGCGAGAACCTGGCGGTGAAATCCCCGCAGTTGCTGCTGCTACATTCCACGTTGTTGTCGCTTAGGATTAGCCCTTTGGGATCCATTTTCCTCAGGGATTTCAAGAATTCTGTTCTTTCGTCTGGTACATTGTGGTTGAGGTAGTGAAGTCTGAATTGTGCGCAAATGATTAAGGTTTCTTCCTCGGAGGAGTCGATGATTTGGGAGTTTAGATTCTGTAATGGCTGATTGTCTAGTCGGTTCATTTGTAGGTTGATGTTCATGGACTTCGCGAATCCGAGAAGCCGAGAGGAAAAGTTGTCCCCCGGTGGGCCTATTGAGAATGGGGTGTCTTCGCTTTCAGTGGTGGAGCTGCCGGGGATGACCGTGATGCGAACTAGCGGAGGAGGGCCGCCTGGTCGGCTTGTCAGGGCCTCGAGGAGTATCGGCCATTGCACACCGTGGGAGACGCCAATGTCGAGAATGTGCAGGTTACGCGTTCGATCACTTTCCTCAGTGAGGAGTTGGAGGATAGAAGAGTTTGCAATGTTGTTGGGAAAGGCGAACCAAGGGCTAACCTCGGAGAATTTGATCAGGGATTTCTGGAAGAAGCGTGATTCGGCGGAAGCAAAAGCAGCAGGGCCTGTTGAGGCAGAGGAGGAGGTGGAGCCGGAGGAAGATATGTGGTGCGTCAGCGCGCGGAGGCCGTGAAAGGCGAGCCGGTGGTTGGGGTCTCCGGTGTGGGACGCGAGCTCCTTGAGAACAAAGAGGAGGTGTTGCACGCGCGTGAAATTTCCTTCAGTTATGGCAGTGGCACAAGGATTGAGCAACTGTTCAGCCCACCTTCCATCCTTGTTATTACCGTTATTACCGTTATTCCCTGTAGCTTTACTTGAACTTTTCTTGTTTCCAACTGATTTCTTGATTGGAACCGCTTCTTCAACTGCCGCATCACCATCCTTAGCCTGGTTGATCCGCCGGCCGTGGTTTTTCTTCTGATTGTTTTGAGACGGTTTAGGAATCGGTTCCTCCACGGATTTTCGCTTCTTGGATAAACTGGGAAGTGGGAGATTATTATAAATGGCGGCATTAGGAGGTTTTGTGGTGGTACTAATAGTGGCAGCAGCTGAAGGGCAATTTAGAGAAGTTTCTCTTATGTTGATCAGATCTTGGGCTATGTCCTGACTTTCATCCCACCATTGATAGCCGTTGATCTCGCTGATCTCGCCTGAATTATAGGGATCGTCCAAGAAAGATGGAAGGAATGAAACTGAATCTTCAAGCCAGTCCATGATGTGATCCGAGGTTGGGTTTGGCTCTGGCTCTTCACTAGTCATTCAGTTTGATAGAAGTATGAGTGATGAGGGAGCAAATTTGTTAAAAGATGAAGGGTGAGCTAGTGTTGGATCATTGACTATAGAAGATGGTGAGCAAGCAAAATTGTTTTTTTTTTTAAATTTTATTTTAAATGTTAAACTAAACCAAGAGGGGTAATAGTGCCCTATGAAAAGGACAAAGAAAAGCATTTTCCAAGTGTTGGTGTGCTGCTCGTTTGGACGATATGATGTTTTATTAAGGTATTTTAATACCACAAAGAAAGTAATAAACAGTGTCTTTTCCTTGTTTTGGGTGGTCAACTTATTCCTTTGTATGCCACGCTGGTCGTGACGCACCAGAGAGAGAGAGAGAGAGAGAGAGTTCTTGAGAAGTTGGGGATAGTGATGGGGTTGAAGTTGAATTGTCAAGAGACGGCAAACTCTGTTTCATAAGAATTATAATAAGGGCTTCTGTTTGGCACTGTTTTGTGCCTCTCCCGAGAGACTAAAATAAACTTTTGGTTTTGTCCCTATTCCAAGTTATATGAAGATACTAGTTTTGGGTTAAGTTTCAATTTTTATCCCCTTTTTTGTGTGTGGGTGATTGACAATCTTCATTAACAGACAGAGAAGTGTACAACCACACAGGAGCCTCATTAAGTATTTATTTGGTACGAGAATTTAAATCAAGATAATTTTAAGTATGGTTTTAAAATTAAAATAATAATTTATAATTTTGAGTTTAAATTATGATTCAGAATCATGGGTTTAAATCATTTTAAATCAAGAGATGGTGGTTTTAAAATCATTATTTGAACTAGTTTAAAACATCACATCATATTTTAAATTATGATTTAGAATCATCAAAACTAAACATTAATTCTGAATTATGATTTAAAATTACTGTAACTAAATACTAATTCTAAACCAGAATTCATAATTATAATTATGGATTCATTTACCAAACGCATCCTAAGCTATCCAAACAGTTATCTGTATTTCAGAAAAAAAAAAAAAAAAAAAAAACTATCCAACCAGCTAGAGAGGCAAGCCACAGAAAAGGACAAAAGGCCGCCATCAGAAAACTATTTTAATCTACAGAACATGTCAAACAAAACCACTATTTCCTGGCTTAAACAGTAGAGAGAATCCACCACTGTTGCAATAAATATTGCCAATTACTGTGTACATAGACGGAGCTACGAGGGTCTATGGGGTCCGCGTCCCATTCACTTCTGTATCTATTTAATTTTTACCTATAATTTTATATAATTTTACAAATGTATCTATATTAAAATATATTTTTTATAAAAAGTGATTTTGTTTTTTATTTTTTTATTTAATTTTTATCAACAATTTTATATAATTTTACAAATGTATCTGTATTAAAATATATTTTCTATAAGAAGTGACTTTATTTTTTTAATCTATCCCACTATTTTAAGTTATTTAATTAGTTTTTTTACTTTATCTTTTAGATAGTCACTATTTTTTTAGTTAAATAATCTTAGACATTATTTAATCTCTTTTTTATTATTCATTTTTTGCTTTTATAAAAAGCTTTGTTTGATTTTGATTTAATATTATTTTAACCGAATAAGTTTGGGTTGATTAATTATGTGTGAATTTTACTTCTTAATCTTGGGGATTAACTTTGATTTGCATATTTTTAATTTACTTCTTAAAGAAAATTATTAGTAACTATAAGGAAAAAAATAAAAATGGTGAGAAGTAAAAAAAAAAAAAAAATCTTGTGAGTGCCCCCACTGAAATAAAATCCTAGCTTCGTCCTTGATTTTGATTGTGTACCCATTTAATTTACTGGTTTAACTCAGTTCAACTCAGTTCGAACATTAATCACCGTTTAAACTCGTGTTTGGCAAACACACAGTCTGAATTATATTCTCCGTTTAAAATGAGTTAAACTGTTAAACTTAAGGTTTAGCTCACCTCTTAAGTTCAACAGTTTAAACTATTTTTTATCAATAAAAAAATGCTCACTCTCTCTCCTTTTCACACCTATCAAATACAAATTTAAATTTTATTCTTTATTCAGATTAAAATTTTAACTGCACATCTAAACGGCAATTTAAACTGTAGTTTAAACCACACAGTTTAAATTTTTTTGTTCAACCAAAAAATTCAAATTAACAAAATTTGAACAAGTGTTCCACCTATATTTTCATGACCCTTGTTCCTTTCTCTCTCCAAAGACAATGCAATTTAACCGCTCAATCACTTCAAAGAGATGGTACTTCTTCCACATTTTAGGCCATTAAGCGGGCTTAACATGAAAAAAGTCAGATACCGAGTCAAACTTGTCAGCACTAAACTCGTGTAGAGCACTCCATCCCATATATTTGTTAAAAATTGCAGGCGCAAAAATTTAAAAAAAAAAAAAAAAAAGGGATTCTAGCTCCTCTTTATTCAAAAACATGGAATCCGTTGACGATTCTCTAAGATGTTGACCCTCGTTAATCGACAAACAACCTTAATTTCTGAGGTTAGCGATGAAATGGTCCTGCAGTGGATGACCCTCTTATTCTTAATTATTTCTCTTGGAATGGTTTTTCAGAAACAACATTGTATTTGATTGTACTGCTTGTATCACCTCCTATGCTTACAATCATGTTACTCCTATCTTAATTTCTTAGATTTATTTTTTATTTTCTTTATTTTTGGAATTAATGAACTAAATGGCCTATTAACATGTAAGAATTTTGTCTATGTAGCACAAAGAACAGGTAATAATCAATGAAAAAAAATTATGCAGGCAAAATTCTGGCGAGCTCAGCAGAGGCAGAACTGAAGCTTCTGCTAGCTTTAAGTTAAACAGCTACGGAGCAGAGTTAAAATATTTTCTATTTTCAACCAATCCACTTGACATCAACATTATATAGTAAATCATTATTTATGTTCGTAGCACTACAATTTGGTCTCCATCCATTGTACAAAAGAGCTTCAAAAACAAATATTAACAATTAGCATAGAACAAGACAATAAAGCACTTTGTTTTTAACCCCTCTTAGCAGTACTAATGGAAAGTCCCTTTAGACCAAACAAAACCCAGGACAGACTTATCTGGCTTCCTTCAATTACTGCTCCATAATCGGTAATCAAAGTTGAAAGCTCGCTGACAAGAAAACAAAAATTTCTCATAAATTACAAGCTTAGAAATTTTATGTTTTGTTTATAAATGGAAAAGATCATAAGCACAACATAAAAGAAAGAAGAGAATACCAGTTCTGTTATTCGGCATGAATTCTAAAAGTCGTCGACGATTTTGATTGATGGAGAATGAGTAGTATCCTTCCAAATTTGTCCCTTGTTATTATCAATCTCCCTAACAAACTCCTCAGGCATGTTAGTCAGCTTCAATTCAAGTAGAGTCTTTAAGTTCTTCAATTCATATGGGACCTTCAGTTTCTTACAGGACCTAGTCTCCAACTCCCGGAGATTTCGCAGCGCTTTCTCATGAAATACCAAGTCTTCCAATTCTTCTAGCTTCCATAGCTTTAATACTAGAAGCTGAGGAAAGTCTTCGTCAGAGAAAACCATTTGTATCCCTCCATAAGAGTTAGAATAGAAGCAGAGTAACTTAAGGTTCAGGAGTTTCCCTAGCTTAGACATTGTATCATTTGAAAGGCCAGAAGCTGACAAGGTAAGCTCAGTAAGTTGCTTGGGGAATTTATCTATCACAAGAGTATTTTTTAGCCTCCCAAACAAGTTTAGGCTGGAGAGATTCCCAAGGCCTGAAAGCTTCAAGAATAACTTTCCGGGCTTACTCCTTTCATCGATCGATCTTAGCTTCAAAGTTTGGAGGTGCTTCAGTTTCATAATCCGACCTGCTAGCCTCTTTCCCTCTCGCTTATCTAACTGGAATGCCAATCCTAATTTTCTAAGATTGGTCATCTTGTCCAAGCAATCCATCAAAGGACTATTCTTGTCCACAAACACGCCCCATAAACTTTCGAGGCTTTTTAGGGAACTCCCACTTGGATTTCTCATGAATTTACTTCGATAACTCTTGTCCAAGTACAAATGTCGAAGTCTTTGCAATTTCCATACTGAGCTCGGCAGAGTGTCGACACAAGTATGCTTCAAATCCAAGGTTTCAAGGTGAGCTAATTCGCCTATAGACGAGGGTATGCTCTGAAGGTAAGTCCACCTTAAGCCTAAATACCTCAACTTCTTTAGTTTTCCTATGTTCTTAGGCAATTCAGGTCTGAACACACCTTCAAGATCAAGCACCTGCAATCCTTGGAAGAAACCGCGAGCAATTCCCCTGCGGAGGAAATTGCCTATTTGCTCTCCCGGTTCATTTCCTTCTCGAGGATCGAAAGAGAGAAATGAGCAAAGATCTTTGTACTCTAGCGAAATCCAATCATCGTCTTCTTGAGGATCATCGTCTTCTTGAGGATCATCATCTTCTTGAGTATCATCGTCTTCTTGAGTCTCTTTCCCCATGCGAAGAAAGAAGCCTATGTCTTCTCCGGGCTCATCGTCTTCTTGAGGATCACAAGGGAAGAAAGAGTGAAGCTTTCTTTTGTCTAGTTGATCATGTGTTGAGCCACTGTGAATTAGGCAAAAACTACGGTTTTCGTTGTTATAATGATGAGCAAGTCTCTGAACTGATCTGACTTGTTGGATTCTCTGGTGGGATTCTCGTGAAAACTGGAGAGAACATGGTTTGGATCTTAGTGGCAAGCAACACGTCTTGACTTTTCCATTTGCCTTTCTCTTGACTACCTGAACAATGCCCTGATCAATCAGCTCAGAAAGACACTTCTCGGCAACTTGTTTGAGAGTTTGGTTCTTGGGTTCGAGAGTTTGGTCCTTGTGTTCGAGAGTTTGGTTCTCGCCTTCGCTTTTTTTTACCAATCCTTCTGAAACCCACAAAGTAATTAGTCTCCTAGCAGGGATTTCAAAGTCCCCCGGAAACAATTCAAAGTGTTCAAGCAATGGCTTCAAACGCGGAGGCAACTCTTCACTGGTTGCGCTTTTCAACAACGGCACTGTCTCAAGAGCCTCCAAAGCGGTGACTTCTTGCTTCAACATCATGTATCCAACGCGCATAATGGAAAAAGGCAAGCCCAAACATCCACGTACAATATCTTCTGCTATTGTTTCTTCTCCTGAAGAAATGTACACCATCTGCTTTAGTAAACAAAAGCTCTCATCCTTTGTTCGCAGACGAATTCTGTGGCGAAGTTTCCTACTTGAGTAACAATCAGCTAGTTCAGCGACTTTCTCGTTCTGCGTGGTTAGTACAACTCTTCCCCCTTTCAATGTCCTTAACTCCAATAGTTTCATCAGTGTGTCCCAAGCTTCCGTTGTTGACACATTGTCCAGAACTAGTAAGTACTTGCCCTTGTTTAAAAAAGCACTTACCATACTCTTCCAGTACTGTTCTTCTCTGGAATTGATCTCTTTCTCATGCCGGCCTAGAACCTGCTTTCCTATGTCTTCTAGGAATGATAATTCATCGTCGCGTTTTTTAGGTACATTAACCCACGCGCGGGTAGGAAAACCTTGTTCAATAGCTCTATGGCCATACACTTTTTTCGCCAAAGTTGTCTTACCTATGCCTTCCATTCCTACAATGGAACAAACATCACAAACACAATCGCCATCTCTACTCTCGGCAGTTAATTTTGAGACCAATGCATCCACGTCTTCTTCTAGACCAACCACAGAACTTGACTCTTCTCTTAGTTCAATGCTGTAGGCACTTAAGCTTTTTTCAATAACATGAATCCGATGCTTGATTTGGTCGATTTCGTGCGAAAACTGCAGCCTAGCTCTTGTACTCCTCAACCTATCATAGCTCCCATAGCCACTCTCGGAATTGATCCGAAAGGCTTTCTTCGATTCGGCTGCAATGTTTGCAACATTCTTCATTTGATCAAACCACGCATTTCTGAGGCTGTTTATGCCAGCATATGTTGTTTCTGCATCATTTAACAGTTCAAGCATATTCTGCAGCTGATCACACAGTAACTTCAGCTTACCCGCCACCCAGCCTAATTGTAGGCACCTCTGATCAAGGAAGTAGCGAATATCTTTTACGACAGACAAAACTTTCTCTTCTCCATCTCCATTACAGTACTTAGAGGACTTTGAAGAATCTCTTATGATGAATTTGAAGCCATACCTTTCCTTCCTTTCAAAAAGCTCAGAGAAGCAGACATCTATGCGCTTAATGTCTGCCTCAAGCTTTCGCCGAGCTTTCCATCTTTTTATAATGTGTGGACCTCTAAGCCACCAAACTTGACATGCCGTTGCTTTCGAGAATGCTTCAATGGAAAGTTGCGCTTCCCCAACGATTTCATCCACTTCCTTCAACCAGGCCTTTCCTATTTCACTCTCGAGTTGAAGCCCTTCGACGTGTTGCAGGAAAGGATACAACAACAACAATTGCAGCTCAATTATTACCAGGTACAGTGGGGATTGGCCGCCATTTAAACCTTTGATTCGATCGATCAGTACCACCATACTATGTACTTTCTTCACAAGAGAGGAAAGGAAACCACCCCTGCCAACTTGTAATCTAGATTTTACCAACTTGTTCTCCTGTTCTTCAATAGGCCTGTCCAACAACTTTCTAATTGTAGACCAAGACTTCTCCAACGATTCGCATATGTTGATTTTACGCATATACTTCATGACAAAGATACCGTTAATCTCATCCTTGACCAGCCTAGTCTCCTTTAAAAGCTCGTCTACCTCCATAAAGTGAAGCATTGAGAAAGACATTTTGCGGAGAGTTATCTCTCTTTTCTTTTTACTCTCAAAGTCCTTAACCAAATCCTCTGCTTTCAAAATTACATTCCTGGTCTTATCCACCCAAACTACCTCAGGCTCGTTCAGTCCTACATTCACCACACCCGAGTCGAGTTCGGAATTCCGTACTCGATGAGCTTTGCTTCTTATTTGATCGCTCAAAGACTCAATTCCATCAGCAGCTTCCACAATGGCGCACAACAACCTCGATTCTCTGCCAATCCATTTGATGTCGTTTTCCAAGAAGAGAAACGCCAAGTAATTCACAAAGATGAAAAGACACGTTGTGATAACAGAGATGCAAAAGAGGACATGGTAAAAAGATATGTGGTTTAAGTTAAACCAAAACAAGGTCACAGCAAAGATGAGATAGAAGTAAGCATTATCACTTTGTATAGAGTCGAGGAATGCATTACTACTGGCCTTGGTTGATTTGAAATCTGATGTTTGGTATTCAAGAAAATAAGTGAAGAGAACCGCACCAAAGCTTGGAGAGCCTGACTTGGACTCCAACGACGTCGGAGATCTGAATAGCTGAGCCACTGCTGCCTCCTCCACGACGGCCCACTCCATTTTCTCACCCTGCACGCTACGCTTAATGTATTTTAGCAGGTTTGTTGCTTTAGAGGAAATGGTACAATAAGCCAGCCATTGCAATTTGCAGTACTAATGGCTTGGAGATTCTTGATTATACAAGTGGGAAATTCAAGATTTTTTATTTGGAAAAAAAAAAGGAGCAAAAGTGGTAGTGCTATGTGGGTTGGACTAGAATTTGGAAAGTATGCATCATGTATTGTTAGGAGAGGTGGAGCCAGTCAGGGAAGTAAAAGGGGACTTTTGGTGCTTTTCCTACGTTGGATCCAAATCCATAGAATTCACATATATATATATATATATATATATATATCATCTAGTGGGACTTTTTTATGCTGAAAAGAAAAGATTGTCCATGCGAGACAAATGGTTAGAATTACAAGTGAAATAGAAAGGAATCTTATTTATATTTTCGCCGACTAGTATTTAAATAGTCTAAAACTACATCAGTCAAATTATATTTGACAGATTAATAAGAGGCATAATTACATCCTCAAATAGACTATGAGAATCAATCAATAAATAATTGACGAGAGAAGCCTTATAGGTCGCCCTTCGATGCTATGCTGCCACTAAGGATGGCAATTTGTGTTAGTGGGCCGTGTTCGTATCAACCCGTTTATTAATTATGTCAAAAATATCAACATAAATACGAAATGTTTATTAAATGTCTCAAAAATGCCAATCTAAACACAACCTATTTATTAATTGTGTTAATCGTGTCAACCAATTTAAATTAATATATTGAATAAATAACTAATATAATAATGACTTAAATAACACGGTCAAGACATATTTAACATGTTTATTGGTCAATTTATCTTTTCTTTAATCGTGTCACTTCGTATTAGGAGGTCAACCCTAACATAACTTATTTATTAATCTTATTAATCGTGTCAACCCGATTATGACCTAAACTCATTTATAATAAATCTAAACTCACTAACTTTATACGAATTTTAAATCATATCGTCGTGTCGTCAATTGAATTGCCAGTCCTAGCTGCCACCACCAAGCGTATTTACTAAACAAGAATGGGATAGAATAGAGGAATCTGATTCCTTCCGGAGTGTATGCATTTATTATAATTATTTCTAATAGGTATAACAGTGTATATTTTCACTATTGAGAATTAAATTCCATGCATTTCACGCGTGCATTCAAAAGTCAAGGTCTACACTTCAGTGGTTCACCTTTCTCCAGCGAATGAATATTTTTCCCTTTATCTTTTGTGATAATTTCAAGAGCTCCCTTAATTACATAAAGAGGCCCCTCCTCAATTACAGTTGTCATCCTGCACATGTTCAGATAGCTTTCATATATGACTTCCAAAAACAATAAAAGCAGTTCCGACTACTGCCTTCAATTATTGTGCACTTCTTGACAAATGTTCATTAATCCAAATGAAAACCTAATTCCGTCCTACTTGTTTTAGGGCTCAAGAAATGACTCATGGAGTGTGACGACCCTGTTGAGTTAGCCATCACTAAAATTAATTTTTAACTTGTAACTTTTAAAACTTTTAAAATCTGAGAGATTTTTTTTTTCTTATTTATGCTATAGGAATGCTGTAGCATTCTTTTCTAAAATGCTGTAACATTCTTTTTAAAATGCTATAGCATCCTTTTTAAAATGCTATAAGAAATGCTGTAGCATTCTCTTTTTTTTTTTTTAAACTTACTTAAAACAACATAAATTCTGGCAGTTTACACAAACTTCGCGTTATACTACAAACTTCCAAAAATACAAGTTTATAGACATACTTATCAAAATCTTTTAAAACTGTAACTACTGCGGAAAATGACTGTGCACGGTATCTCATCCCCAACCTCCACTCCGTTCGTCCGCTGCCTCGCCCTCAGTCCATCATATGTTCTGTGCAGGTTGCTTACCTACAATATAAATATTCTATGATGAGCTTTTGCTCAGCAAGTAGGAACTATCTCTCACAAAATAACTGTAAGTTCACATGAATAAATATGCATGAGTCAATTATGCTTAATTATGATCATGTCTTATTAAATTCTTATTATCTGCTCTTATCTTACTTACTTATGGGCCTGAGTGCTCGTACCACTTACGCGTAATTATTGAGACGTGAGGGTTTGCAAAGTCCCCAACAACACTGTGATTATAACTGAACTGAATGTGTAGCGACCCTCCTTTGAGGCCGCCACTGTAACTAACTTTTTAACTTGTACTTACTGAAATTTCTTAAAATTTACGGAACATTTTTTTTTTAAAAGGTCTTATTATAAACATAAAATACGAAATTGCTTTCTTAATTAAAATATTCAAACCTTAACATATCTGTTTCATAATCATAATTAACAAAACTATTTGTAACATAAAGCTGATTGCGGAAATATTTGCGAGTGGTATCCATATCCCGAGCCCCACCTCGTTCGTCCACTCGCCAGCAGTCCATCAGGCTTTATATGCCGGTTGCTTACCTACAGTATAAACATTCTATAATGAGCTTTCGCTCAGCAAGTAGGAACTATCTCCCGCAAAATAACTGTGCGTTCACATGAATAAATATGCATGAGCCAATTATGCTTAATTATGATGTCTTATCATAATCTTATTATCTTATCTTATCTTTCTTACTGATGGGCCCGAGTGCTCATACCACTTGCGCGCAATTATCGGGACGTGAGGGTTTGCAAGGTCCCCCATGACACCGTGATTATAACTTGAATGCCTCCCTTGAGTCGGAGGACATCATTATTATTATTTTTTTCTCCCTTGTGGAGCTTGAGTTACCTCCCTTGTGGAGGCTGGTACGGCACTCAACTGAGATTACTCTTATAAGTTCCTCTTGACTTATTAAGGTGTATGCAATATGACCTAGCATAGCATACTATATCATGTACTCGAACACATATAATTCGGGTGTACTGCCTAAGTGTATGTAGTATAACATAGCATAGCATTCATAACATTAAATGTACTCAAACATATATAGTTCATGTGTACTGTTTACTTTAAAATCTATTTATACTGTAGGCGAGATTCCTACTTAC